ACACACCTGTCAGTGGTAAATAGTTTGTCAACACTATAAATTGATACATTTGAAGGAGAGCGTGTTCTTTTGAAAAACAAAAGACTTACTGGCCGGATCACCAGATGAAAAGAAGAGGGAAAAAAAGCCTAAAATACAAAACGAATACAGCCATCAAATCTAAGAATTGTGTATAATATTTGTTTTTGGGTTTAATACTGCTTTAAATACCACCTGTTTATACATGTTACAACATGCAAGTCTGTGTTTACTCTGCTATAAACATATATTAAAATGCTTGCTTAGTTTTTTTATAATATGAACTGTTTGTATGCCCCCCATATAATGCATCTACTGATCCTTTTTGACATGGTTTTCACTAAAGGTAATCCCTGCTTATGTTTTTTTGTTCATCGTGTGCTCATTTTGATGTGTCCAAGTTTGTGGCAGATTTAATTTATATCATTTAATCCACCTAAATTACGTTGTAGTCATTTATGTCGACCTAACAACTTTGGAGAATCTATCACATAAAATAAAATGTTCCATTTTGATATAATGTATATATTGTTCTGAATTCTATTTTTTAAAGTCTCATTCCTGGCTGCTGTTACTGTAAATTTACCTATGCAATGGGGTCCCCTTTATGTTGCATTAGATAAATGCAACGTTTGGCTGGTGGGGGGGGGGAGGAAACAGCACAAAAAACTTGTACCTTGTTCTTTTGCTCCCCCAGCAGCTGGCATTCTCCAATGTCCAACACTCCAAAATGTGAGCCTGTGTGAACAAGCTGAGGTTAGAAGCTGATTGGTTTCTATGCAGAAGTGAGCCTGATTGTGCACCCTCCAGCTTTAGTAAATATACCCCATGGTGTCTTCTTGCCATACAGACTGCTGGTTCTGTATTGTATGTGATCATGTTAGAGAGCAGATGGGCAACGAGATGAAGCAGCTTTGGGGACTCATCGCAAAGAGTGGAGGAGACCTGCAGGAGCAAAGACTATTTCTTACAATTTTTTCCACTAACCAAATAATCATTTACCCCTGCAGTGCACTTTATAAGTACATTTGACAGCAGCGAGGTGTAGGGCCTGCAATAGACAAAATTTGTTTTGTTTTGCCATGTTCATTATGTCGAAAGTATTCGTTTTTGGAATTCGTTTTTGTTTTGTATATTTGTTGTTCCAGGTGAATCTGAAACATTCTGCAGTTTTCTCGGAAGATTGCTATATATTATTGATTCACATGCATTCAAATCAGAAGGATTCAATAATTTCGGATGCTAGTCCAACCCACCAAGAGAAATGGCATGAGCTGATTGGACAATATCGAATGGCATTATGTGCAGCTGGTTTAACAAATGAAACTAAATTCGATTCCATTCGTTATCTGAATCTGAATTATCAAACAATTTTGAAAATTGAATTAATTTCCCCATGGGCCCGAACTACTACACCATCACCATCGTGTGACATCATCTGAATGAAACAAATCCATTTGTTAATTTCATTATAACTTTTTTTTTTATTCGTTGACATCTGTTACTATGTCCATTCAGATATCCATATACATTCAAATCTGTCAAAATTAAATTTTCATATGAAAAACTGAATCATAATGAAACGCACATGTCTAACTTGTCAAAATGACATTTTCGTATGAAAAAATGAATCATAACAAAACGCACGTCTAACTTGTCAAAATGACATTTTCGTATGAAAAAACGAATCATAACAAAACGCACGTCTAACTTGTCAAAATGACATTTTCGTATGAAAAAGCGAATCATAACGAAACGCACATGTCTAACTTGTCAAATCTGTCAAAATGAAATTTTCGAATGAAAAATTGAATCATAACGAAACACACATGTCTAACTTGAACAACAACTTTTCAAACATTGTCACTTATACAAAAATAAAAAGAGTTGCATATACTGTAAATAACACAATTTAAACAAAATAGCTAATTAATTCTATGACTACCACATTTTAAAAGCACAAACATGTCAGTGCGTCTAAATGCAAACCAAATATTCTATGGCGCATATTTCTTTAATGTCAAATCATTCCTGGTGATCTTACCAGAAAGGTGTAACCATCAGCACCTATTTACCTATATTGATAACGCTTAGTCAACTCAGTTGAGGTGCCACTTTTTCCTGATAAATCCTGTCCTGGACTGCAAACAGGCATGTCATGGCACAGTGTGTTAGCTTGTTCCACTGCAGTAAAACTGTGACATCCACTTTCCACTAGAGACTACACATATCCACATGAAGTTCATATGAGTCCACAGCATCCATACAGCACACAGAGAGAAACTTGAACTAAGGGAAAAACTGTAACAAAAAAATCAGTTTTACTTACAATGCTCCATACAACTAAATTTATTTTGCAAGAGTTTAATTCTAATATTAAAAGTCTACATTTGTATGGTGCATTAATGCAAGTGTGTCAATGTGCATTATTAGCATGCCTTGCATTAGGCAGCCTATTGAAATCAATGGGCTGCCAATGCATCAAAGACATTCCAAATATTGTATCTGTCAAAAAATTTTAATGCTCCACACCCCCCTCGATGTAATATGGTCCATACATATTGCCGTACATATTGCCATATGTTGTAGCATGCTGCAATACATCCGTGTGCATTATTGTACTAGTGAAAATGAGTTGCACCGCAATGCGTCAGTACATGCAGCATATGTTGACATACATTGTGGTAAGGTGCTCATTCAAACAATATAAAGGTATACATTGACCCTTGCAAATATCAGCACTGTAAAGCATACTATTCAGCCATTCAATATACTGTACCTGGTGGTACATCATTAAATCATTACATTTCGTAGCGCTTTTTACGTATTTTTAACTAGGAACAAGTAAAATGATCATCCAAGCCGACATTTATAGTGACCACAAGAGGGAGCCATTTACTTTTTCATGTAATGTACAAAAGCACCAGAGGCAATATCAGAGACCTTCTAGGAATGAGACACCCACTATTATGTACAGCACAATCTCTATGTTGGTTGTATTTATCAAGTGATCTCGGGAAAAAGGTTTAGGGCACTAAACATATATCTTAAGGTCTCTCTGTTTTGCAAAGATTCTAACTCTGCACGGATTATTTACAGATTCACCACTACTACCAACAGACATATTTCTGCTGTTTTCACCTGCTACTTAAAGTGGCTGTAAAAGTTTAAGGTTTTTTTACCTTCATACATTCTATGCCTGAATGTAAAAAAAACCTTCTGTGTGCAGCAGTCCACTTAGCCACCCCTAATACTTACCTGCGATGTACAAGAGAGCCTTGGCTCTCCAGGGACTTTCCCTCCTCATTGGCTAAGACAATTGGCTCTCACTGTTGTCAATCACAGCCAGTGAGTCAATGAGGAGAGAGAGGGAGTGGGGGCGAGCCACAGCTCTGTGCAGGGGCGGACTGACAACTCATGGGGCCCCCGGGCAATAGGGGATCATGGGGCTCCTGTGTCCTTGCCCACACCCAAAAAAAGCCTATGAAAAAGCCAATGAAAGGTACCAGGGCATCTCATGGGGCCCCCTACTGACCCCGAGCCCTCGGGCTGTGCCCAAGTGCTCGAATGGTCAGTCCGCCCCTGGCTCTGTGTGTGAATGGATATGCAGAGCAGCAGCTCAGGAGCAAGCCTTCTTGGGTGCACGCATAGCAAGCTGCTTGCTCTGGGGGCACTTGGCAGGAAGGAGGGGTCAGGAGCACCAACAGGAGACCCGAGAAGAGGAAGATTGGGCCTGCTCTGTGCAAAACCACTGCACAGAGCAGGGAAGTATGACTTTTTTTTTTAATTGCCTTTAAGGTTACTTTAATCTTTGCCAGTTACTAGATTAGAATAATTCAATAAACAGTGCTGAATGGTTAATTGAAATGAAGTTTTTGATTGGTACTAGATTAGAATGGTGCTAAACTCAAAAGCAAACATTTGTTATATTGCAACTTATCAATTCTTAGTTGTGATGGCTGTATTAGTTTTGTCTTTTAAGCTTTCTTCTATTTTCATCTGGTGATCCAGACAGAAAGTCTGTTGTTTTTCAGAAGCACAAGCTCTCCAGCAGAATGTGTCAGTTTACAGGGATGAGACAAACCAATTATCACTGGCAGGGCTGATTAAATGATCAGCTTTTATTTATTCATGTAAAACCCTTATCCCAAAAGGAAATAAATTGTTTGCTGTAACTGATTCTAAATTGTTAGCTGGGAATTGGCTTCAGTGTGCTATTGTATTTAAATCTGATGGTACATTTAAGCCCCCCAGGCTGACAATGCTGCTATTTGCTGTGCCTCTTGTCCTTATTCCTCTAGAGTGGTGTCTCACTAATACAGTAGGTACCACCCAGATCACCAGGTGAAAACAGAGGAAAAAAAGCCAAAGAAAAGAAAACTGGTGCAGCCACCACATCTAATGATTGGTAAGCTGAAATATATTACATTTTTGGTTTTTAGTTACAATACTGCTTTAAAGGTGTAAAATTTGCTTCCATCAGATCAAGAGGAAAAGACTGTCTTTAGACATCTCTAATGATATTACACGTAATATTACATATTTTATTAAATAACCATCTCTCAGTTGTTTGTTACATGTTGTCTCCTGCACTGATATGGCCACTAGATTCCTTGATACTTTCTAAAAATGATTATATAGTTACTTTTTTTAGTGTGTATAACTGGTCAAAATTAAAAATAAAAAAATATTCAGTAAATTTCACCAATACATGCAGATGCTGGCAAGTTGTTTTTCTCTATAAAAACATCCCAAGTACAGAAAAATAGTTACTGCGGCTTTTCTTGATCTTTTTAAAATAATTTTTGGTGGGGTTTTTTTGGTGGCAAATAAAATACAAACACACCAATAAATAGGAAACAAAATCACAACAGTAAAAAAATACGTTCACTTATGAGCCAATTTGACAAAAATGGTAAATTTGCACCAAAAAGGTTATAAACTTTGCTATAATTGCGCCTACCTTCTGATAGTGATCTGGCTGTAAAAAAAAAACTTGTCCAGGTGACCTAGCAGGTCACTGTATGATATTGTAACTGTAAGCATGAGCGTGCTGTGGTCTCCATTTAGCAGAAATACTGTAGCTCCACAAACTATATAAATTAGTGGCCAGTACAATCATGTACAGGGGCGGACTGACCATTTGGAAACTCGGGCACTGCCCGAGGGCCCAGGGTCAGTAGGGGGCCCCATGAGATGCCCCTGGTACCTTTTTCATAGGCTTTTTTGAGTTGGGCAAGGACACAGGGGCCCCTATTGCCCGGGGGCCCCATGAGTTGTCAGTCCGCCCCTGATCATGTATTAGCTATACCAGAACCTAGATATGTTACAATTACTTACTGTATATCTTATCTCATTTAGCCTTCAACCTTGTTTTACAAAGTAGATGGGGGCTCATTAGACTGAGCTTTGGTCAACTTAGAACAAATAAACCCTTAGTTAGAAGATCGAATTGCACATTTATTAAAAACACACATAAAACAATATCTAAATGATTTAAAACAGAATTCTTATCAGTGATACATACAGGTAGCTCCGTATTTTCTCTGATGTGCCTGGCTGAGCCCATTTATGTTTAGATTATTGAAAGTAAGGCCGGGGGCTCCTTAGTCTATAATGGAAGATTGTCCTCAGGGAAAGTGAGCTGCAGTTCATTCAGGACTCTAACAACCTCCGTCAGATAAGTGAATTATTTCACAAGTGAATAATTGCATTTTTGAAGAGAGCATTAACTTTGAATCTCAATAAAGAATATAATATGTTTCTATACAAAATACCCATAGGACTTCTGGTTTTAGTAGACAATTTGACATTTTATTATCCTCAAAAACCTCAAAATGAAAGATTCACTTAGCTGATGTTCTAGGAAGAAGGATTTTAAAAGCCATCTACACATAATTGTAACTAATGCATATATGAAAAGGAATATAAAATGTTCCAGATGGTGGGTAGATTTCTGCTCAGTAGTTAATAGGCAAAGGGATATAGGGGTTTATTTACTAAAGGGGGAGATCGTGCAAAATCAGGCTCACTTCTGCATAGAAACCAATTGGATTTTGACCTTAACTTGTTCACTTAAGCTTTGGCAATAAAACTTGGAAGACAACTGGTTTCTGTGCAGAAGTGATCCTGATTTTGCACTCTCTAGCTATAGTAAATAAACCCCACAGCATACTAAAAGTGGAACTTTAGTCAGAAAATTAGGACCTGATAGATCACTTCAGCTTGCCCCTTTTGGAGGTATAGCTATGTAAAACATTAAAGTGTTACTAAACCCACAACAGTAAAATCAGTCTGTATATGCAGTAAAGCATGCTTGTTATACTCACTGTGGAACCTAAGGGGTTAATCCTCTGCATTGTGTAAAAAGGCCGTTTTGATCCTTTCTTCTCTGTTCCTCCCCCTTTTCAAGTGACCACCTCTTATCTCCTGATAAAACATATAGTGTGGAGACACTCAGCACATGCTCAGTTTGGTGTGTATTGCTAGAGAGGTTTGTCTTTTGTTTTGTTCTTGGGAGTGTGTATGTGATCAGCACAGGGCCAATAAGCACTGTCCAGACAGAGGTCAGGGGTTTTACATCCTCCTAGAGCAGAAAGAAAACTCCTCCTACAAGCTTTATTCAGTGCTCTTCTGAACACTGATAGAAGTCACAAGACTGCTCAGCTGCAGATAAGAAAAGGTATTTAGCAATAAAACTTGGAAGCCGACTGGTTTCTATGCAGAAGTGATCCTGATTTTGCACTCTCTAGCTATAGTAAATAAACCCCACAGCATACTAAAAGTGGAACTTTAGTCAGAAAATTAGGACCTGATAGATCACTTCAGCTTGCCCCTTTTGCAGGTATAGCTATGTAAAACATTAAAGTGTTACTAAACCTACAACAGTAATATCAGTCTGTATATGCAGTAATGGATGCTTGTTATACTCACTGTGAAACCTAAGGGGCTAATCCTCCGCATTGTGTAAAAAGGCCGTTTGATCCTTTCTTCTCTGTTCCTCCCCCTTTTCAGGTGACCACCTCTTATCTCCTGATAAAACATATTGTGTGGAGACACTCAGCACATGCTCAGTTTGGTTTGTATTGCTAGAGAGGTTTTTTTTTTTAAAACGAGTTCCCATAGGCTAGGTTCACTATTTAGCAGGTGTGGGACTGTATGTAAATCGCACTTTCCCGCATCCACAAAATGCACTGCTGTTAGCAGACACATGGGGTGCCATTAATTCTTAAAATGGTGTGGAGTCCCACCTTCCATGCATACCAAGCCCTTTGCGTCTGGTATGGATTTTGAGGGGAACCCCCACGCCAAAATGTTTTATTTAATGGCATGGGGCCCCCCAAAATCCATACCAGACCATTATTCGAGCATGTAGCCCAGCAGGTTAGGATGAGAGGGGGCTAGCAAGAGCCCCCCCCGAACCATACCAAGCCACATGCCCTCAACATGGGGGGGTGCTTTGGGGCACAGGGGCTCCCCCCCAAAGCCCTTTGTCCCCATGTTGATTGGGGAAATGGCCTCTTCCCCACAACTCTGCTCAGTGGTTGTGGGTGACCGCAGGCAGGGGGCTTATTGGAATTTGGAAGCCCCCTTTAACAAGGTGGCCCCCAGATCCCATCCCCCCCATGTGAATGAGTATGAGGTACATGGTACCGCTACCCATTCACAAAAAAAGAGCGTAGCAAAAAATGACAGGAGCCAGTCAAGTCCTTTATTAAAAGCAAAAATAAAAAAAATGTCCCCAGAAGTAGATCCAACGTCAATCCACTCCCAACGCTGGCTCCCGCCATCTGATAGCTGCGCCGTGATGACAGTTCTTAAATACTGTGATAAATACTGTGATGCGTGGCTACCCCAGCCCCCTTGTGATGTCATCATGCAACTGTGACTGGCCAAAGCATTGCACCTGACTTGTGGTCAGGTGCATTGCTTTGGCCATTCACAATGCACTGTCAGGACACAGTCATTGGGGGGGGGCAGACAAATAGCCCGCCGAACACCCCTTACCATTCGTGTGTTCAGCGAACACAAGCAGCACGGCCCATGTTTGAGTCAACTTATGTTCGACTCGAACATAAAACCCATCACTAATCTCAAATATAAGGTTGATTTACCTGAAAGAATGCAAATTTGTCTATCTACACAAGGCCTAACACAGACATTTGCAGGAATGACATACTGTAGAAAAAAATCTCACTTTAAAAGTGTTTTAATTCTAGTGGATTAGAGGCTAATAATATTGTATTCATGTTCCACAGATTATCTAGACCAGCGGTTCTCAACCTGGGGGTCGCGACCCCTTTGGGGGTCGAACGACCATTTCCCAGGGGTCGCCTAAGACCATCGGAAAACACATATTTCCGATGGTCTTAGGAACCGAGACACCGCTCCTCTCTCCGGCGATGTGTGGGCGGGATGATACGCTGCTCCTGTCACCTGGCCACACCTCCGGGATCGCTCAGCAGCTCCGCCTCCTCGCCGCTGATTGGCCACCGGAACTGTAGCTCAGGAGAGGCACACAGGCGGCCAATCAACGGCGAGGAGGTGGAGCTTGGAGAGGAGGAGCCGAGCGGCAGCGCGCGTACATCAAAGAAGATCGAGGGAGCTGCCGGAGCGAGTGAAGAGGAGAGCGGCCAGAGAAGGAAGACAGCTGACAGGTAAGTGAGAGAGCGAGCCCAGGCTGTCACTAATACCAACGATGGGGCACTATTCCTCCCCCCACTGACACCAACGATGGGGCACTATTCCTCCCCCCACTGACACCAACGATGGGGCACTATTCCTCCCCCCACTGACACCAACGATGGGGCACTATTCCTCCCCCCACTGACACCAACGATGGGGCACTATTCCTCCCCCCACTGACACCAACGATGGGGCACTATTCCTCCCCCCACTGACACCAACGATGGGACACTATTTCCCCCCCCCCCCTGACCCCAATGATGGGGCACTATTCTCCCCTCCACCACACTGACATCAATGATGGGGCACTATTCCTCCCACTGACACCAACGATGGGGCACTATTCCTCCCCCCACTGACACCAACGATGGGGCACTATTCCTCCCCCCACTGACACCAACGATGGGGCACTATTCCTCCCCCCACTGACACCAACGATGGGGCACTATTCCTCCCCCCACTGACACCAACGATGGGACACTATTTCCCCCCCCCCTGACCCCAATGATGGGGCACTATTCTCCCCTCCACCACACTGACATCAATGATGGGGCACTATTCCTCCCACTGACACCAATGATGGGGCACTATTCCTCCCCCCACTGACACCAACGATGGGACACTATTTCCCCCCCCCCACCCCAATGATGGGGCACTATTCTCCCCTCCACCACACTGACATCAATGATGGGGCACTATTCCTCCCACTGACACCAATGATGGGACACTATTCCTCCCACTGACACCAATGATGGGGCACTATTCCTCCCACTGACACCAATGATGGGGCACTATTCCTCCCACTGACACCAATGATGTGGCACTATTCCTCCCACTGACACCAGTGATGGGGCACTACTCCCACTGACACCAGTGATGGGGCACTACTCCCCCCCACTGACACCAGTGATGGGGCACTACTCCCCCCACTGACACCAGTGATGGAGCACTATTCCTCCCACTGACACCAATGATGGGGCACTACTCCCCCCACTGACACCAATGATGGGGCACTACTCCCCCCACTGACACCAATGATGGGGCACTACTCCTCCCACCGACACCAGTGATGGGGCACTACTCCTCCCACTGACACCAGTGATGGGGCACTACTCCCCCCACTGACACCAGTGATGGGGCACTACTCCCCCCACTGACACCAATGATGGGGCACTACTCCCCCCACTGACACCAATGATGGGGCACTACTCCCCCCACTGACACCAATGATGGGGCACTATTCCTCCCACTGACACCAATGATGGGGCACTATTCCTCCCACTGACACCAATGATGGGGCACTATTCCTCCCACTGACACCAATGATGGGGCACTATTCCTCCCACTGACACCAATGATGGGGCACTATTCCTCCCACTGACACCAATGATGGGGCACTATTCCTCCCACTGACACCAGTGATGGGGCACTATTCCTCCCACTGATACCAACGATGGGGCACTATTCCTCCCACTGACACCAACGATGGGGCACTATTCCTCCCACTGACACCAACGATGGGGCACTATTCCTCCCACTGACACCAGTGATGGGGCACTATTCCTCCCACTGACACCAGTGATGGGGCACTATTCCTCCCACTGACACCAGTGATGGGGCACTATTCCTCCCACTGACACCAGTGATGGGGCACTATTCCTCCCACTGACACCAGTGATGGGGCACTATTCCTCCCACTGATACCAACGATGGGGCACTATTCATCCCACTGACATCAGTGATGGGGCACTACTCCTTCCACTGACACCAATGATGTGGCACTACTCCTCCCACTGCAAAATTACAGTTATGAAGTAGTAACGAAAATAATTTTATGTTTGGGGGTCACCACAACATGAGGAACTGTATTAAGAGGTCGCGGCATTAGAAAGGTTGAGAACCACTGATCTAGACAGTTGATGATTTTGAATGTGCATGGAAGCATGCAAAATAAATATATGAAGTGTATAGATACATTTTAACTAGTCTGTGGAGTACTTCCATTGTGGGATTTTTTTTCCCAAACATGAATGTATTTTGATGATACAGTAAAATTCTTGATTCACTTTACAATGCATTTGAAGGTTCATGTAATCAGACACAGGGGTGGACTGACCATTTGGAAACTCGGGCAGTGCCCGAGGGTCCGGGGTCAGTAGGGGGCCCCATGAAATGCCCCAGGTACCTTTTTCATAGGCTTTTTTGAGTTTGGGCAAGGACACAGGGGCCCCATGATCCCCTATTGCTCGGGGGCCCCCATCAGTTGTCAGTCCGCCCCTGATCAGACATGTTTTATTTTTCATTTATGGTCGACAAAGCTATATTCCGTGAGTGAGATCTCTCCATAGTAGTTCACAGTTCTGCCCCATGCAGCCGCAAAGACTTTTAGCTCCTTCTGCATCCATTTTCATGTCAAATAAATATAAAATCTAACATGTAGTGTAGAACCTTTCCTTATGGGCATTACAGGTGGGTGGACCGGTGAGTCACATAAACTGATCTTGACTTCAAGTTCTCAGAAGATCTTTGAAGTTACTTTCAACGCTGCCTATTGTGATTTCTGCAGACTAATTTTGGACCTGGTGGGATTCCAAGATTTAAACTACACTGCCTCTCCATTTGCCATCTAAGAGTGAAAAAAACAAAAACATTGTGACCTCTAAATCAAGACAGTATTGAGTGTGAAATAAATTGTGCAGGAGCCACAGGAATATTGCTCAGGTCCTCCCCAAATACCTTACCCCACAGCCAGGCACATAGGCTCATTCACCCATTTCTCCAATAGTCAGTCTAGGGGTGATAGGTACTCTATCCTCTGGAAAACTTAAAACCATGGCAATGCATCCTGGTCTCTTCATCCTGGTGGGACATAAGGGCTTTTAGCCCTGGTAATCAGAAGGCTGTAGGCCTCTTTCTGTGCCTGAGCCAAAGCCACAGTGCAGGGTGGGGATAGATCTGGCTTTCTTTCAACACAGGCCTCACAGAACCAATATGTCTGGATGCAATGCCTCTGTCAGCCGCGCTGGGAATCTACCGTGTCCCGCAGCAGCTCTGGTACTCGCATGAGCACCAGCCATCTTGCTGCCATCTCCTACTGGTTTCCCTTCATCTACACCGGAAGTGACATTGTAGCTTCACCCCAGGCACTGACTCTGCCCGCTTTCCCTTGTAGTCTGACTCACCAGCGAGCATTGTTCCTGTTGGGTAGATTATCCAAGTGCGTCTCTTCCAAAACTCTGGGTTAACCTCTCCACAGCCAAACTTTACTCCAGCATTACCAGTCCATGCTGAAATGCTGACATTATCAGTCCATGCTGACAATGACACACATCCTGGTGGTACTGTCCTCTGCCTCCCAACAGGTGTTAACAGTGCTCACACTCTGCCCCGTGTTAACTCTTTCACTGCAATCCGTTACTCTGGTATTATCAGTCCATGCTGTAACACCTTCTCTGACATTATCAGTCAGTGCTGTAATGCGGATAGTAACACACACATTCGCAGTGAACCTGCCCTCTACTAGGCAGACCTCTCCAGTGATCTGGCTCCCATGCTCTGAGTTACTTCTTTCTATGCCATCCCTTGAAAATGCTCTGAAAATGTACTGGTAACAGTCTTCAGTGTAGCACAGATATGTTCCACTGATTGCTATCACGCAATCCTGATTGTCTTCCTGCAGTCCACAAAGTAATATTGACAGTTTTTTTTCTTCTGGCCGTTGCCGGTAGCAACAGCCGTGGTATTCCAGAGGAAAATCCCGGAACGAGCCCTCAGACGTAGCACTACTCTGGTAGGAGCCGCAGGAATACTGACCAGGTCCTCCCAAAATACCTTGCCCTGGAGCCAAGTACATAGGCTCATTCACTTATTTCTCTAATAATCAGTCTAGGGGTGTTGTTTTTGTTTTTGAAGAATGGGGATGAAAGAGATGAGTCTAATCTGCAAAACAAGTTTTGTCCGAGTCCGCGCTTGAATAAAACCATGGAATTCAGCTTTAAGCAGTAACAACAAGTAGTAACAGTAACAGCAGTAACTTCTTTTGAGCCCAGAGCTGTGTCCCTTTGAGTAATAGCAGGTGGACAAAGCTCTTTGGCACACCAGCCAGTATTCCCTTTGCTAAGTCCTCAGTGGACTTCCTAGCACCAGAGGGGGTTAAACAGCACACAGTCTCTGAGATCTTTAGGGATGTCTGTACTCACAAAGGCTAGGCCCATAAGCAATTGGACACCTTCCTCTGTGATACCAGAGCAGATCTTCAGGAGACAGCCCCTCAGTCAGCATAGCAGAACCTGGGTCTCAGCAATTCAGGCCCTCAGGTTGCCCACCTGAGGCCTACGGCAGCAACTGCCTAGGAGGGCAATGTCCCCTTATGATGGAACATGGTACCCGACCCCCGCCCTTCTCACCAATTCGTGACAAAGGACCAGCCAATCTCGCACCGCGCTGTCACTTTCATTACAATGCCACTCTCAGCTGCTCCCTGCACAAAGATTTTCCAGCTCACTGGACCACAATCTATGTGCCAGCAGCCTGAGAGCGATTGTTACTGGGTTAGGTTAATTATGCAATTAACCCTTCACACTGCCACCACCGCCTTTTTACAGAGAAGGAGGAAACTCACAAATCCTAGCAATAACACTATGATTTTAGCATAAGCGTCTGTAACACACACTGTCACCACAAACAGATATATTCAGAGGATTATTACATACAGTAGCACTCTTCTAGAGACAGTGATTCTTTAGTTTGAATTAAAAGCTTTAGAGACAGTTTCAACTCTTTTCAAAATAGGATTTATTACTAAAAAGGTCAAAATGATGCAATTAAAATATTTACAAAAAAAAATGAATGTTACAAAGACATAAAGAGAACAATAATGTGACAGAGAAATAAAAGAAAGGAGTTAAGAAGGCAGAATACTTGCAAAGTCATGGTTTTTAGTCCAATTGTCCAAGCAAAAAGGTTAAAAAAATATCAGGGATGTAGAGAGCGCTCAAAACAGAATAAGTAAAATAAATAATGATTAAAGATTGTTATTATAACCAGCTGAAAAAGCAAATATGTTTAAGATTAAAAATATATTATTACCTATAAAATTAACTGCGTAATACAATAAATATTAGAATATAAACTATAAATCCAGGTGAATATGGCGCATCATCAGGGGCCAAATAGAAATGTGATGATAAAAAGAGTCTGTAAGGCAGGCCATAGACGGGCCGTTTATCGACCAAATTTTCGGCCGATAAACGAAAAATCGGTCGGCCCCCCATTGCCGATGCTGCCACCAATGTCCGCGACAAACGGCCGTTTTTTCGCTGACATTGGTGGCAGCATCGGCAACGGGGCCGACCGATTTTTCAGCATGACCGATAAAACTAAACGAGAAGATCCACGAAAAAACGGCCAACGGGCTGGCCCCACTAACGGCGTGAATATCGGCCGATTTTTCGTGTGGACGAAAAATCGGCCGATAAACGACCCATCTATGGCCTGCATTATACAGAAAAGTGTTCAGAGATAGTGCATGCTTGATGCGGTCAGGTCAGAAAATTAGATATATAATCATATGTGACTTCCGTTAGGAATCCGTGCGATTCAATCCGTGTGATTCTGTATAATATGCGCACTCACCAGATACACATAAATTATGCGCATTAAGCAGAATATGACTCTGTAGGGAGCCCCTTTAGGCAGATTTGTCAGCCAACCTGGACCAAGGATCCCTCCTCTGGACACAAGCCTCCTCTGCAGCCACGCTTCCACTGGGGGTCTCTGTGATCTTAGCTCAGATCTATGTGTATAATGTGTAAATCCAGCTTCAAGGAGCTCCAGAAACTCAAGATTTGGCTACAGAGCTGCTCCTCAATCCCAAATTCAGGTTCCAGAGCTGCTCCAGCTCAAACAATGATCCAGAGCTTCTCTGCTCAGCTACAATTTCCTTTGTCTCACAACATTCCATCCAGTGATGGGTGCTGGAATTTTTAACCAGTACTTCCAGTTACAAAGAAAAATGTGGCTCACTCCATGTGATGCCACTACGCCAATCAATGTTGTCACACAGAGCGCAAAGCGCCACGTCAGCTATGATTCTTTCTTTTTTTAGGCCTTGTGACATTTCTCTTCCATGTGGTGCCATTGCTGTCAGCAAGACAATGAGAGGGACAACTAAAAAAATCAAAAGCATAACTAATGCTAGCTATCAAATCCTACCAGAGGGTGTTACATACTTCTGTCATTCTGTCATTCTATATACTGCTCAAAAAATTAAAGGAACACTTTTTAGTCAGAGTATAACATCAAGTCAGTTTAACTCCTGGGATATTGATCTGGTCATTTAAGTAGCAGAGGGGGGATTTCAGCTGCTTTGGCGTTAATTAAATTAACAACAGGTGCACTAGATGGGCAACAATGAGATGACCCCCAAAACAGGAATGGTTTTACAGGTGGAGGCCACTGACAGTTTTTTCCCTACTCATCTTTTCTGACTGTTTTTCACTAGTTTTGCATTTGGCTAGGGTCAGTGGCACTACTGGTAGCATGAGGCTATACCTGGACCCTACAGAGGTTGCACAGGCAGCCCAACTCTTCCAGGATGGCACATAAATATGTGCCTTTGCCAGAAGGTTTGCTGTGTCTTACAGCACAGTCTCAAGAGCATGGAGAAGATTCCAGGAGACAGGCAGTTACTCTAGGAGAGCTGAACAGTGCCATAGAAGGTCCTTAACCCATCAGCAGAACTGATATCTACTCCTTTGTGCACGGAGGAACAGGATGAGCACTGCCATAGCCCTACAAACTGACCTCCAGCAGGCCACTGGTGTGAATGTCTCTGACCAAACAATCAAACAGACTTCACACTCATGAGGGTGGACTGAGGGCCTGACATCCTCTAGTGGGCTCTGCGTTTACTTCCCAGCACCATAGAGCTCAAGTGGCATTTGCCATTAAATACCAGAATTTCCAGGTCCGCCACTGGTACCCTGTGCTTTTCACAGATGAGAACAGGTTCACACTGAGCACATGTGACAGATGTGAAAGGGTCTGGAGAAGCCGTGGAGAATATTATGCTGCCTGTAACATCGTTCAGCATGACCGTTTTGGTGGTGGGTCAGTGATGGTCTGAGGAGGCATATCCATGGAGGGACGCACAGACTTCTACAGGCTAGACAATGGCACCCTGACTGCCATTGGGTATCGGGATGAAATCCTTGGACCCATTGTCAGACCCTACACTGGTGCAGTGGGTCCTGGGTT